AATTTTTTTTTTTTTTTTTTTTTTTTTGTACCAGGGATCAAACTTGGGCCCTTGCACTTGTGAGGCAGGTGCCAGAATCATTGAGCTAAATCGCTGGCCTGATTCTGGAACAATTTGATTTGCTACTTAGAGGCCTGCAACTGAGGCTCTCTCTGGGCCAAGATTAGAGGGGCTAGAAAAGCCATCCTGAGGCCCAGCCTCTGCTGAGCATAGGGAGGAGTGGGGCCCAGGTGTTCTCAAAGTCTGTTTTAGTGGCAGAACAGCAGACTCAGGACCATATGAGCATATATAGACATATGTGTGTACACCCCCCCTCAAGTAACACATACACATATCACATATATATGTAACATACATATAATAAACTCAAATGCCCACACCTATATATATATGATTTCTTTCATTTGCCTATCTAGATTCTTTTGGCCTGGTGAGGGTTAAGTATACCTTCAGCAGTGGCAACCCAGGCAGACTGCTAACAACTGGTACCCTCAGCCCATAAAATGGGCCTGATAGGTCAATACAGATAAGCAATTTGCAAGAAGAATACAAGGAGAACACACTTACTCAATTTAAGAAAACTGTCTCTATGTAGAGGATTAAAATGATATATTCACCAGAGACTTTAGATTGTGACTATCTCCTCAGGGATTATTTAAAACAAATTCACAAAAAAAGTTTCACTTATTTCATGTAGGAACAGGGCCAGGTTTAGAACTACAAGGGAGAAAAGAGAACAGAGAGATGTAGCCCATAGAGAGTGATAGGGACACTCATTTCTGTGAGGTGAGTTGCAATGATTTTGACACGTATTTCCTGTTTCCTGTGTACCTGCTACTGTTGGAAGAGCCAGAAGTACAGGGAAAAAAAGGTAAGGTCTCAGCTCACACAGTTACATCCTACCATTATGGATGGAAGGGTGTGTGTGAGTAGAAAATAAGGAAATATTACGCATTAAGGTTCGGATCTAGACTGCTCCCCAAAAGTTTCATGCTTACATACGGGGCCTTCCTGGAGCGGGCTGGTTGCAAGCGGTGTGATCTGGAAAGGAAAGGTGTGTTCTCGTCTCCAGCTCTTCGCTTCTCTCTCTGCTTCCTGGCCGCCATGGGGTAAGCAGCTGACCGCTTCCCTGCCCGTCGTGCCATTTCTGCCCGGGAGCCAGCAACTATGGACTAAATCCTCTGAAATCGTGAACCAAAATAAACCTCTCCTCTTCCGGTATTTTGTCCAAGCAGGGGGAAAGCCGACTAACATAATTAGTTGGTAAACGGTTCTTTGGCCAAGAGAGGGTAAGAAAGATGACTGAAGGTGATTTTAGGGTGAAGTATGAAAGGCCCCTCTGAAGAGGTGATGTTTACTGGGGTGGAGACGCTAGTAGTGGGAAGAGGCAGCTATGCAACAACTTAAGAGTAAGAGGGCTCCAGGCAGAGCTCCTGAGGTGGGGCCGTGTGTGGAGCCACTGAGGAAAAAGAAAGAACCACGAGGCTTGGTACAGACTGAGCAAGGCACATACCGTAATGGTATGAAACACTAACAGATGTGGGCTTGGGCCGAGACTCTGTCCAACCAAGGGTCTCTCATAAAAACATAATTCTCTCTGATTGTGAATAAAGCACTATCACTGTCCTACTTTCAGAAAGGACAATTCTTGCATAAACATTAAAAAGTCTGAAATCGAACAGGTTAATATTCAGGACGAATATAATATTTCCACGGTGTCTGTATAACCCTACTCTGTCCCTGCCTCCCTCCCTCAATTCAAATTCTGATGAAAGTCCCAGAGTAGCACAGGTATGAAGATCGGTAAGGACACCCAAAAAAGGGAAGGAGCGAGGCAGGGAAGGAATGGAGGGGGGAGAGAGAAGAGAGGAAGAGAGAGACAGAGAGAGGGAGAGGAGAAAAGACATGGTCAACTTTCCATCACTGCTGTGAACAAGTAGATGGAAATAATCTAAAAGGAAGAAAGGTTTGTTTTGTTTCATGATTTCAGTCCACAGTCACTTGGCCCCATGCTTTTGGGCCTGTTGCGAGGCAGAACATCACGGCAGGATGGCGGCAGGGAAGCTGCTCACCTCATGTCAGCCAGGAAGGGGCTCGGGAGAACGTGCACGAGATTGAGCCTGCTCTCTGAGAGCTTGGAGAACAACCTGGTGGGTCTTTAGCCAGTGACTGCTATTTACAATAACCACACTACGTCAGGGAATGGGATGTCTGCTCCTCTGTCGTGCCTCTGTTTAACGGAGCAATCTGTTAAAAAGCCAACTTGACTTAACACGATCCAAACTTAATCCTTTGAAGAGGAACATTAAGGTCAAGTTCTGTACTGAATTGTACTTGTGAATCTTCTCTCTTTTGTGTCAGAAAAAAAGAAACTTAAGCAACAGAAGAGAAGCCCATTAAGTTGACTCCTGAGTATTGGACAGAAAAGAAAAATGAAACCAGTGTGCTCAGCCCAGAGTAGAGTGCAAAGGTTAAGATGCCAGGCCAGCTTGCCTCAGCCAGCGGGAACCGAGGTCGCTGGTTATCAATCATCTGTCAAAGTCTGCCGGGCTTTACCAGATAATTACAGTTTTAAGTATGTTTATATCACACAGATATGTGGCAAAACTACAAAGGATTCAGGCCCTAACATGATCTGCAATGACATTTAAAAATACTACAGAGAAGGGATAAATCATAAAGCAAACACGTCAGAGATCATGCCGTTCGCTACTGCCTGGGAATTCTAGAATTATTATGTTTATTTGCATAAACATTTAGAACCTTACAAAGCCTTTGACTACATTCCCGCCTCTCCCTAATTTCCCAATGAGTTCTAAAATAGCAAATACCATCATTTGAAATGAAAGACTGGTTATCGACTCCATCCCTATGAACCGACGCCTAGAACGGAATCACAGCTTACTGCACACGATTCCTTTCTGAGCAAAAAGATCTGGTGCTGCTCCGAAGAATCTACATAAACATACAAACAGATGTGCCTAAGGGACAGCTCTAAACCCACAAACCAATAGATGGCATTTTAAATCAACGACTCGAAGCTGCAAACAACATCCATTTTGCTCTGTTTGGCAGTGTGCAAGTTTACATCTAGCAAACATTTCTCAACATGAATGAACTGTGCAATTGTCTCCCGCTACCTCACACGCCTCTCAGTTGCATTAGACTGTGTGAGCCTCTCCTGCACCTTGTCCCATAGGCCGCCAGTGCCTCAGGAGGCAAGGGCCCCACACCTGAGAGGCGAGCCAGCGTGTTAGGGTAAAATAACTGGAAATACCACACCTTGCTCAACAGCGCACAGGGAAGCGGCTGTGCTGGGACCTAGACATGTCGCTAGGGGACGCAAGGGGGCGAACCATGTATATTTCAATTCCGACTATAACCTCAGGGAAATGATGACCAGCTCATCCCGCTCTGAGCCAATGTCAAGCGCTGCCCTGTGAGCGTAAGTGAATGATTTTACTCTGAAGAAAACAATATACAAACGGGTGCAGTGTTTTAGTTGTTTTCAACCGGCAGCCAACTCTTCAGAGTCCAAGTTTCCCTGCTTTGTGGATTACATATGTTCATTAACTTTAATCCGGCACACACAAGATGAAGAAGGTAATTATGATGCAGAAATGAAAATCCAGAACAAGATGGAAACAAAATGAAAGACCGGGGATACTGATTATTCTGTTACATGAATGAAGCTGATTGAAAGTTGATTCTCTAAATCGTATCTGTGCGCACAGAGTTTACATAGTGTAAAAGTTGCAGATATTTCTCGGAGGCTCCTGGAGCCACCTTCCTTCCCTGAGGGCATGAGCATGCCATCCTCCTGGTGGATGTGTGCGCACTACCTCGGCCTCCCCTCTAATCTCCGCACCCAAGACCTGCTTTTTCTATAGTGGCTGAGTCTCCAGATGGAGCGCTTTCCACTCGGGATTCAGTGAGCTGCCTGTTTACTCAAGACAGTGTATTCAGACTTATGTTTTCATTGTATCTTTCTTATATTATCAGTATAAAGTTTAATTTTAAAGTTCTTTATTTTGAGATATAAAGCATGGAAGACCATTTGTAAGAAAGTAATAAACTGAAGTCTTCATGGTCATAGCTTTCAATGTTAAGCTAAACTGCATATACTGCCTCAGCGATGGCGAACCTTTCAGAGCTTTCTATGCTAACAAAGAGCTGGCCGCAGCACATGTGCCCTAGGTTCGCCACCACTGCACTATATGATTTAGTGTATCCCATCTCATAGGATGATAAATGCTAATTGCAAAATTCTATAATCCTTTATTTTTTCCTCTCTATAATCCTTTACAACAATTTTGCTGGTGCATTTTAGGTGTGCAATATAATGGCATTCATCATTGGAAATTTTCACCTTTAAATAATCTCTCTTGGTTCTTATTTTTTCCCCATCCCCCTGCCCTCCCTTCCACCCCTCCACTCCTCCCTATTTACAGAGACTTTGTTTCCATTTTTGCATTTTCTCATATTAATCCATTCCCTCCTTTCTTTTCTCCTACCCCTCCTATTTCCCCTTCCCCTTTGCCCCTTTTCTTCCTATTTCACATATAAGCTTTTCTGTTTATGGCCCAATAATGCCCTTCTGTCAATTCTCTAAGCTGCTAAATTTATGATCCAAGAGCCAAGTCACATAAATGCAGGTTTTCCGAATAGTTATATAACACAATACTTTTCAAGGGAACTGTGGCAAACAAACTCATGGATTGGGTAGATAGCATTTTATTTTACTTTATTTGGTACTGAAGACTGAACTCAGGACCTTGTGCTTGTGAGGCAGGTGCAATGCCACTGAGCTATATCCCCAGCCCAGCATTTTATTTTATCTTTTGCCTTAGAATTTCTTCTCTTTATTTCATTCTGTAGAAGTGTAAATTACTTTTTCCTGAGTGAACATTTAATTGGCTGCATAAGATAAACTGTCCGTTCTACTGGTTAATTTTCATATATTCTTGTATGTCAGCCATAGCCTTTTGATATTCTATCTTTGGCAATCGACTCATAACAGAGACATTTAAAGTCTCAGACTACCACATCCAAATATTCATTCATTTATTCACCCGTCTGATTTTTCTGAAAATGTTTTCTATACAGCTCGATGAAAGAAAAATAAGTAGTGTGACCCTTTGGGACTGGTTTTTCCAATCAAGTCTATAATGAGTCTCAAAAGTCACAGAATAATAATATTGGAGTTGACCTCAGAGAGCATATAACCCAAATTCTTTCTTTTATACATGAGGCTGCTTATATTATTAAATGACACCTGGAGAGGTTGAGATGATACACGAGGTTGGTGGCAGGATTAGAGTGAGGACTAGAACCCCTTTTCTCCTTTTACTGCAACAAAAGTTCGATTTCTAACATATTTTACCATCACTCTCACTGCTCATTGCTTATTGGACCAGAAGTGAATACTGGGTCCAATGCAGGCCAATTAAATTCTTTCTCTTGGAAAATAAAAATTGGAATTCAGACACAGTCTCAGTCCCAGCATGTACTTTGAACTATAACATGTAAACTCGAGAGCTGTCGGCCATCTGTGGACTGAGACACAGAGAAAGCTAGCACTCTGAGGAAACAATGGAACAGAAGGGAAGATGCGAGCATAGACAGATCAAGGATTCTGCCTGGTTGCCTGCTGGCTTTTTTTTGCTTCTAGTTTGAAGCCTCTCCTGAGGGACACTGTCTTTTGTTTTTATTTAACACATTCTTCCTGCCTTTTTTTCTCTCCTCTTGTGTTTCTCTTTCAAGATGGGCCATATTGTTTTTGTACATGCAACCAAGGAATCTTAATCCAGATAGTAAAGCCACAGCTACAATGATAAACCTTTGATTTTAGTCTATTAAAGTGGGGCTACCCACAGGACAGCTTAAATAGCTCGATAATAAGATACATTTGGTTAATGAGATGAATTTCAATAATTAACACTCTGAATGCAACTTAGAATAGATTGACTTTTCAGTAAATTTCTGGTATTGATTTATATGGAAAACTAGCTATGTAACTGTCAGAAAGCCATATAACACTATTTTTATTTAAAGGCTCAATTTAGACTTGTTTGTTCCTCCTTAGCCTAAAATTATGAGGTTCTTCTGTACTGACAAAGAATTGAGATGTTAATGGTATTTTTAAGTATAATAATTTTGAGATCATAAACTTTTGAATTTCTGAAAGAATGGCCATTTGAATTATAAAGCTATCTTGAAAATTTTTATTCATATATATAAAATTTATGCCTGAAATGTATTAACAACCAAATATCTACTAACATATTAATGCATGTAAAACAATAATGAATAAAACAGCACTTAGAGCTCCCACATACTAAGACTGTGCTAAGAATCTTCAAGGTGTCAGCTCATTTGAACTTCTTCAAAATACTATGCAGTTATTGCGCCTGAAGTACGTCTGTTTAAAAGATTTTCCCAGTGCTACTGCAAGGCAGCTGACCCTGGGTGGACTGTAACCACTACTCCACAGTTTTAATAAGAAACTAGGTAAAGTGGGAACTCAAACAAAAGAACTCTGGAAGTTCCTTAGCTGTTTTGGAGAACCATTTCATGAAACCAAGGAAGATCATAATTTTCTAAGTAGTCCCTCTTTTCTTTGTAAACAAAGGTCATTCAGATTGCTAACACTTCTTACCGGGGGTTAGAAGGGGACGGTGGATTCATTTCCTTCTGATAGTGACGACCCTGGGTGACAGGCTGTAAAAGACAAAACATTTGTGAGGCAGACCTTAATCGGTGCAGTGTTCTTTATATATCTTTTTCACACACATTCTCAGTCCTTTAAAATTTTTTGAGACACAATTTGCAGTGAAAGGCTGGGTTCACCTCCCATAGGAGGTGAATGCTCTTTGGGAGAGCCCACCAATGGCAGATACTATGAATGAGAATGCACGTTACATGAGTTGCCAAGGACTGCCCTCAGCAGCATCTACAACATAATTAAAATTCATTGGTCAGAGTCCTCCTCCTTGTGGGATTTTTATTCTATTAACTGGTTGGTATTTCCAGACACAGTGAAACAAAACAAGGCATTTCGAGGCCCGAGTGACATAATGAAAGCATGAGCAGTAAACTGGAGACCTACAAATACAGAAATCCATTTATGTCTCAATGTTAGTCAGTTTGCAAGGATATTATTACCATTAATGAGAATTACACATGCAAATTTAGGTCGAGGTGGTAATTTCCCCAAGTGTATAATATCTCTGTAGGCAGTGATCCGTGAGCTGAGAAAAGTGATGCTAACATCTAACTAAAAGGTGAAATCTCAAATTTTTCCTTAACAAGAAACCATTAAATTAATATTTAAAGCCAAAAAACTACATCCTTTGTAGCCTTAAATACTTGCCTCTAATGGAATTTGATCTTTTTCTTTTATTCTGTAAAGGAAAAAAACCCCTCCAATATATCTAATACAAATTCTCTTTTAAACATTAACTCTAAGGATTTTCCTTATGTGGTTAACAACAATATAATCTTACTACAAAACTAGCATTTTTAACATCCTCATTTTATTATGAGTTGAAATTTACTACACACTTTGTGGTTGTTTTGTTCTCTGAGACAGTGTCTTGCTGTGTAGTTGAGACTGACTTGAACTCACTATGTGTCCCAGGCTGGCCTTGAACTCCCAGTGATCCTCTTGCCTCAGCCTCCCAAGTGCTGGGACTATAGGTGTGCGCTACCACACCCGGCTGGGATACATTCTGAATTGCACTCGGAATGTTACTTCCATATTCAAAGGGGTTGGTGTGAAAAGCTTTCTCAACCCTTCCTGGCAAGTCCCAGGTCCTGAGTTCCAGCCTCAGTACCAAAAAAACAAAAAACAACAAAAAAAAACCCCAAAAAAGCTTTCTCATCCTCAATAATGTGGTGGTCCCACAACACTGACCTCGACCAAGGAAAACAGTGTGCTGGTTATACCTATGTATAAAGAGCCTGTATTTTTTATAGTCTGCACAGTCCTTATTTAATGGGTCCTAACATATTAATGACATAGGTGATGGGAATTCTTGACAGTAAACGAAACTGTCTTCCTCTATGAATAATCTCTTGGACGTATTCCTTTAATTTAAACAAACACCCTGTCTGATAATCACAGTCACTTAGCCCGACTACCTGTGATGCACCGTGAATTTAAATGTCCTCAGATACTCTGGTAATTGAACCACTCTCAATGCATTACCATGTCAGTAATAAGAAACAACAGCTTGGAGAACAGTGGAAGGAAAAGCATGTCATAAGACATATTTGATCTCACGAGAGAAGTAAGGTTTTCAGCAATTTGCAAGTAAAATTTGGTTCTGTGGTTTAGGCTTTATTATTTCATGGCAAAAAAAGAAAAAGAAAGAAAGAAATTAGCAAGCAGAGAACCTAAACAGTTCTTTGCACCAACTCACACTGGTACAGAAATACTCCCAATAATAAATTCATTGGTATTCTTTCTGTATTTCAGCTGAACTCAGGCCTCCAGTGAATGGGATCCTGCCTATTTATTTTCAGAGGTATTTCCATAACTCTCTAAGTATTATAGTCTTGATATTCAGCCAAATGTGCATTTCTTAATTTTATGCTACTAATTCTATTTATACTCATCCCAGCCCCTTATTTCCAATGACTTACTCCATCCTTTGGGAAATACCCATCTTGTCTGTGCCTCAGCTCTCATTTTAGACCGGTCCCTGTCTTTGCTCATTTTTATGTAAGAGATTTAGTGACACATTAGTAAAAAAAAAACAACCCACAATCCATAAAAGCTCACATTCATTGTGATCGTTAATAATTAGAAAACAAGAATAACAAACAGAAGCTTTTCACAGTAGTAAGTACTGAAGATATATATAGGTAGAAAGGTGAGTGACTAGCTGTCTGAAGCCAGCTATCCCCACCCACAGGTGGACATTGATGGGGTACAGGACATGCTACTCCAAATGTGGCACCGTGAGCTGTGAGAAAACCACAGAAGCAGGAAGCCCAGTCACCTTTCCTTTCTCTGCTTTCCTGAGGCAGGTCGTGAAACACAGGAGAGATTTCCTGATCGTTCCCTCAAGCAGGTCCTAAAACCTTCACGCGACAGATACTTTCCCTATATCCCGAAGAAAGAAATATCCTTATCTCTGAAGACAGTATCACAGGGAAGAAAATGAACAAAGGGCCTTGCTATATTTCTCTCAGTTTGTCCAATATTTCTTCAAGGCATTCTACTGGTCAAACCTGGCATAAATATACATACTTAACCACTGATTTGGGTCTTCATATGGATGTTTTGAGTATGTAAGGTTTATATTAATAACCTTGTATGTTATTTTGTTACTTTGCCTTTTGCTACAAGGGGCCTCAGCCAGGCACATAGGATGGGTAAGGAAAAGATACTTTCTCCCTCCAATGTATGTTTCTGTACATATGTGGCACGAAGTATATTTTTATGTAGGTAACATCCAGTAAAAGTACCAATAAAAGAAAATAAAATGATTTTTGATTTTGGAATTCAGCCATATGTAGAAAATACCATAGGCTGACAAAGACAGCAACCAATATATACAAATAACTATGAATGACAAATAACAAAAGAGCAGTAACTGATTATTTATTGAGCTCTTCTAAATGCTAATTCTTGATAAATGTGATCTCACTTGATACTCACAGCAATTCTATGCAGTGGATGGAACTGACAATTCCTTACAACAGAAGAGGACATTCAGACCATGGGCACCAGCCAGGGTCACGCCCACCCAGAGGCAGAGGGGCCCGGAAGTGAGCCCCAGCCACATCCACAGCTTAGCCGCTTTCCCCACTGCTCTGCAGTGCTAATCCAGCCCTGGAGGGAGTTCAGGAAGAGTGTCAAACACAAAAACCCTGCAAACAAATGTGGCAAAATCCTTTCAGTTTATGGCAGGGGAAAAAAAAGGGATCCTGAAACTCATTTATTTGAAATATGTAATACTACACCTCCTTACCCTAAATCTATTGATGTAATTCCCCTGATATATTACTAAATATTTAATATGAAAAAAATTAGTTTTGCCACACTGCTAAATTTGAGAAAAATATAAGATACAATCAACAGTGCTGAGAATAAGGCAAGTTTATTTCATGGAGTGACTTTCAGAGGGGCAAACAGAATAACCTGCACACTTCACTGTTTCTCCCTGACTGCAGACATCACCCTGGCTCTTGTATCAGTGTTCCTATATCGTTTCTATAGTTGCATAAGTACATCTGCTCATCTGATTTATCGAGAGCTTAGCACAATCAACAACTTACCCTTTTAGTTTAGGGGATTAAAAGAAAACTCATTACACCTAAAGAGAGCTGAGAAGTTAATGGATCTGTAGATCAGAAGAAATTAAGATCTACTAACTGTGAGGCACCTGAAATGCCATTAAATTACACATTCTGAACACACAGCAGGCAGGGACCATCACAGATTCACTCATAAGCAGTGAAGTGGCACAGATTCTAGGAGTGTAGGACCTTATCCTGTTGGTGGCGCTGTTGCTATGCACTTGTGCCAGGAAAACAGCACTCACAAAATGAACGCCACCAGGCACAAGCGAGCAGTTTTGCTTTTCTATGATCAAGCTGCTAGAGATTCTGAAGTGAAGGAGAGAAGTGAAGGCTAAACAAGAGAACACGTGATAAGATAATACTGCTGTGTTAAAAGGTAAAGACAATATTTTTATGTCTTTATGTACAACCAATGAAAGTGGCAGTAATGTTAAAGCTTAATCACAGCTATACATGACTTGTCTGGAAAACTCACCATATACGTCTAATTTTATTAAGCAGGGTTTGCCTGTTTTTCTTTAAATATGATGCTGCTCAACATGCCATGTTGATGGATGTTTGCAGTGAGCTTTAAATGTTTTTTCTTTTCCTTTTTTTGGCAAGCTCAGAAGACTTGTGTGCTTGATAATAGATTATGGTATGGAGATTTCCTAAGTTGCTGGAATGATGGCTCTGGGGTCCGCTCAGAGAGTAGCATATGCATTGTAAGCATGCTTTTCTTGACATTCTTGGAGGGGCAAACAGATAATGAAATCATATAAGCGAGCCCATCTGTAAAGCTCTGCTGGGGTCAGCCTGAGGGTCCCTGTCCAACTCACATCAAAACAGGCACAGTGATACTGCTGCCCATCCCTACAGCTCTCAGTAGCTATAAAAAGGGGAAATATCTGGGAAATCTTTCCCTGGACTCAAGTGGCCCTCTGAGGAGAATACCCTCTGGGGAGCCACAGAGTTTACAGTCAGAGCGACCCACTCTGTTAAGGCTTAAGCATAAACACACATTCCCCGCACTCATCCAGTTCACACGATGGTAACACAGGACCCCTTTAATAGGTGATGCCAGTCAGTGGCACAGCTGGGATATGGGCTCATATGGAGTTTGTATTCTTCTGTTCATCACGTGAATCTGTGTCTATCACTAGGTATTCCTTTTGCTTAAAAGGAACACACACACACACACACACACACACACATGCACTATGGCTTTATACTACTGCCAATAAAAATCTCTCACAAGGGCTGAGGATTTGGCTCAGTGGTTCTGCTGCCTGCCTCACAAGTGAAAGGGCCTGAGTTTGATCCCCAGAACAAAAACCAAAACAAAACCTCACCAAGATAAAACTCACTTAAAAATTCAATGTAGCTAACTCCTTGCTCCCCTCCTAAGGCTGCCTAGAGCTCAGTTTTTGAGTAAATCTCAAGGGTGATTGCAAACAGACCCCCCCTTGATTAGTTGTAGTTTGGTTTATACAGAAGTTGTAAAGTATTGTTTTAATTGAATTTGGTTCTAAGTTAGAAACTTTGAAAAATTGATCTGTCAAAGGCCAATGGATTTCTCAGTGGACCTGATTTATTTAGCAAGAGATGCCTACGAAAGCCAATTTGCTACGTGAAGTATGGTTACATTTAATTAAACTTTTAAATGACTAATTTATTATCTCTAAATACCTTTTAAACAGTACATATTACTCTGAACTGTGAAGAGACCAAGGAAAGCCACGGAATGAAACATACAGCAAACACAACAGATCCTGCTCCAGACTCCTCACTTACTGCGCACTGGCTTTCTGGTTGCTGACAGCAATGTGCGTGTGCGTTGGTGGGTAAAGAAACCACACTGAGTGCGACCTGCACACACCCATTTCTTACCGTCGGGCGGCAGACCCTGCTCAGGGGGAGACTGTCCTTTGGGTGTCTATTTAATAGCCACTAATCAAATTTAAATATAAAATACCACCTGCTTCACTCAAGAAGTGTTTTAGCAAAACAAATCTGATGTTTATATTGGATTTTAGAAGAAAATGACCTTATTTTAGACTTAAAAGAAAGAATTTTTTGGTATTACTGATTGATTTATTCAACCAGCAGCTGACCAGCAGTGGGCCTGGTGTGGAAGGTGTGAAGGGCCTGAGGCCAATCAGTCTTCAAGGAGCTCACACACAGGCCTGAGTGGGGGCCCTGATAACAGTTACTGCTGTGGTCAGTGCTGCAGGTGAGCCTGTGAGTAGTGGGGGAGGCTCTGCATAAACCATCTGGAAATAGCTTTTCTCTCAGGTTTTTTTTTTTTTTTTGTACCAGGGATCAAACTCCGAACCTTGAGCTTGTGAGGCAGGTGGTAGAACCACTGAGCCCTTCTCCAGCCTTCCCCAGCCCTTCTCTCAGTTTTTGTGAAGCTAAAGCTGCTCTAAAACATAAATGCTTTACTAAAGTTAGTCAACAAGCAAAACAAAAACTGCTGGAGTAGAGAGCAGATAACAGGCAGGACCCCAGTAAACCCAGATAAGCCCTGGGAAAATTGGTGCACAGGTGAAAGAGGGTCAGGAAGTTTGCCCCAGGGGAAGGCTGGTCTCCAGACGCCAGAGGCCTAGCTAAAAAACAGCAACCCCATTGTTTCAAAGGACAAGGCCTGAGTAATCTGAGATAGGCCCTGGGAGGCTGGGGTGCAAAGGAAGTCAGTTCCTCTGAAAGCCGCAACCTCACTGTTTTATTGTCTCATTTTTGTGGCCCACCAAAATGCATATAAACCCCTGAATGGGGCTCTCCCTTGGAGCCCTTCTTGGTTAGCAAGAGCTTTTCTTTGTTCTTTCTAATAAACAATACAGTGACACCTTAGTTCATCTGGTTTGTAATCAAAGGTGTTCCGCAAAATTTTGCTTCTGCTCACAAGCTCTGTACCAGGTGACAAACACGGCTGTGCCATCTTCCCCACACAAAGAGAAAGGACGCCACCCCCCAAATCATAAAACAAATTAAGTCTGTACGCTGTGTCCAAGGACTGCATTCTTTGCCATCTGCAGACAAGGGCCCAGAAGGAGGACAGAATCGGTTACAAGTCTTATGCAAGCGGATGGAGAAGCAAAGGCACTAGGAAGAGGTCATTTTGTTAAAGGAGAGACTGTGCTCACCTTCATTTAATTCTGCTCCTCTTCAGAACCTGAAATTCCTTCCTCCCTCTTGTCTACATGGTGGACTTGCACTCATTCTTGAGCTCTGGCTTAACTTCTGCCCTTTCTGCGGAAGTGTCCCTGAGGCCCACAGGTGGAATGAAGTGCTTGCTCTTTCTCACATGTTCCCATAGTTCTTTGCTCTTTCATCACTCACTACCCTGGATTCAGTGACCTTTTACCTCTCTGCCCTCTCTACAACTGTGAATATCTCAAGACTACTGTATTTTTATTTGTGTTCCCAGCACTCAGCCTAGTCCACGGCACATTCTACCACTTAAAAATGTGTGCACTGAGTTAATATGAGACAAACAAGCAAAAGAGGGTTATAAAGAGATATTCCTGGTCTAGGGACACAGAGGGAGGAACGCTCCTCACAGGGAGGTCACAGAAGGGCTACAGAGGGCTCTGGAGCTGACCTGCGGTGGTTGGTGGTGGGAGGATCATGTGTAATGTCTGTATGCATACAGTACGTTTAGGACATTATAATTGGGACTAAAACATGGGGTGAAAGATGGGGAGCAATAGAGATAAAACTGAGATGGGGAGGTCTCAGATCATGGGGACCCCTGTGTGACAAACTAGAGATGCAATGGGAGCCCCTGAAGGTCTCTATGAAGAGATTCACTGAAAACATCAAATCTAGGCTTTACAAAAATCACCGGTGTTACGGCTTCTGTCTAGATGTCCCCCAAAGCTTCACACGGTCACAGGGGGGGCTTTTTCTGAGGTGGCTGGATCTAGAGTGTGGGATGCTGGGACTGATTCATGGTGCACAGCTGGGATCAAGAGCACTGAGATTAAGGCTGTGAGTGCTGCCCACCCTAAGTAGCCTGGATAAGATAGAAGGGACAGAAAGAGCTGTGGTCATCCCCTGTTGCTTTGCTAACTTCTGCCTGCCATGAATTTTTCTCCTCTGTGATGCCTGTCTGCCACGCTACCCTGCTGTGGAGCCAGCCGATTATGAACTAAAATCTCTACAAACTGTGAGCCAAATGAATCTTTCTCCTTTAACACTGGGTGTTGGGTATTTTCTCTCAGCAACAACAAAAGTAACTAAAACAACTAATATAAATAATAATGGAAACTAAGCTTTGTTTATTGGCCACTTATTATGTATCAGACACAGTTCCAAGGGCTTTACAAGGCTTGGATTTGAATGAAAAACAGATACTCCTATCAAGCTATGTTGCTTGGACTGGAGGCGCAGATGTTGAGAAATGGTTGAAGGAATTCACGGCAAGGTTGTGGTACTTGGTAGTGAGGCTTAAGAGGTAATGAGTGGTGTCTCAGGCTGTGGAGACCAGTGGACATGGGCAGCGAAACAGAGGCAGAAGTGGTGATCTTGCCCAAACTGTGCAAATGGCAGTGCCACTTGCTGGGAAGAGGAATAGGGTATCATGCTGATAAAGTTGTGAGCTCTTTCGTTTCTTCTTTTTCACTGTCTCCATACAATTTTTATTAGACAAAAGCAGGCACTCTCAGCAACAATGCTTGCAAATGGCTCTATTTAAACTCTGTATGAGCAGCAGGATGTAGAGTTCATTAGGGAATGCACTTTCCCATTTGTGGATAGTTTCAATACTGGAATTGGCTGAATTTCATGTAATAATAAACGTATCTTGTGAATACCAGAGGTGGGATTTTCAATATTTTCTGTCTGAAAAAGAGACTGTTAACAAACGAGGGTTATTAAGTTCATTACTGATGGTATTACTTTTGGCTGTCTACTTTTAGAGCAGAATAGTTGTCATGCAGGAGACTTCTGTCCTCAGCAGAACAGGACAGTGATGAGAACACGGTATCCAGGGCAACCAAGGGTTCAGACATCTCAGTCCATAAATAATCATTCCTCGGCCCGCCCTTTGTGATGCTGGTCTCTGAGCTGCTAATCTGATGTTCATGACAGAATGAGCTCCATCAGGAGGCCGCTGTTCTCTTACTGGTGGCTTAAATGACTGCTGAGGAGTATTTTATAAGAATTTTATAAGAGTATTTTATAAGAAAGGCTCTATGACAAAAATCTGCAACTGACTCTTACGATCTTGGCTCTGGTTACACGGATCCTTGGAAGCCAGAGTAAGGAGAACACAGGTGCCTAGTCAGGTGTGCTTGCTGGCTGTGCTTGCTGAAAGCACAACTGAGGCATGACAGACCTGGAGGGTGGGCAAGGCGGAGCTAACAAGCACTGATTAACTAATTAATTTCCTTCCCTCTCACATTTCCTTGAAACCAAGAGGAATTCCTCTTCCATTACAGACTTGCAGGTTCTCTCCAGGGCACAGTAACCGCACCTCACATGGGGTATTGTCAGCACACATTCGACAGCTCTGTTATGTGTAATATCAGGAAGATGTCCCATCACAGTGGTGTGGGGTCGGGCTAGGGTCAGGCCAGGCTGAGTGCGACTGGCTTCCCCAGAGCCTCTGCACCCCCTCTGGAGTAGGAACTCTGACTGTGCTTGCCACACAGGGCAGCTCTCAGCAGCATTGAAGGGACATTGGTTAGCACTGGGTGGCGGGGCTGCTGAGACCTCCAAAGTTGAAGAGAGGTTGGAGATCCGGAAAAAACTGGCTTACAGATACAAAAGGCAAACTGCAAAATTAATAATTATTTATTAAATACTTACTCGACAACACCTACTGTCAACTATACTTCAACTCAGTCTTTATACAGTTATATATAAATGGGAATCAAAGTCATAGGATTTGCTATTTTCCTTCAAAAGTTATACAGCAAGAAACTATATTTATTGTTGGATGAAAGTAGATTTTAATGTTTGGTATGATGTTGAATGTGGCTTTATATGTAAATGTTCTTTGGCCTGTGAAGATTTTAAAATGGCTCTAGGTGCTTAAGAAAATGGTAGCTCCAATTACTATTATTATAGCAATAACTATTCTATTATTCTGCCTTAAGACATTTCCTGTGCTGTGCGGGAGTGCCCTACGGATACTTACGCTTTCTTTCTTTAAGCCAGCCACAAATCCTGGAGGACAATGCCACAGAGAATGGGCCAGGTGAAAACTGTGTTCTGCTTGGGACCCATCACCCGACAACCAGGAAGATTAAGACCTGCTCCAGCTGGTCTGCTGGCCCTGCGAGGGGATGGCCACAACGAGAGCACTTCTGGAGCGCGAACACCCAGGAATGCAATCCCAGAAGACTTCCACAGCCTGCCAAGACCTCTCACTTGCAAGGTGGACTCAATAGCTACCTAGTGGCGTCTACGAAAGGCTCTTTTCTGCCCTCTCATCTGAGCAATACTTCGTAGATCTAGTCTTTTCCCTTTCGATCATTCATTTCATAAATATGTATTTAATACACGGTGAGCCTCTTTTGTGTGGCAGACTCTGTTATACTCCAAGTTTATAGGAGAATTAATTTTCTTCTCTCAATGGACAGCTTTGTACATCATGGCTATAACTTTGTCTCCTGAAGTCCATGTGTTACACATGTAACTACCAAAGCAACAGTGTTGAGAGGTGGGGTCCTTCACAGGTGCTGCACAGAGGATTAATTCCATCTGTGTGGGAGTGGGTTCGCTATCATGGGGTCCTGTACGTTAGGAAAGGAAAGGGTTCATGCAGCCCCTTCCCACCAGCTCTGCCATCTCCTCTTGCTCTCTTGCCCTCTATTGTGTCATGGGATGACGCAGGGAGCGGACCCTTAAAAGATGCAGGCTTCCTGACCTTGGCCTTTCCAGCCTCTAGCGCTGTAAGAAATAAATCTGTGTTCTCTGTGTGGTTGATAAATCAACTAGTCTCCTGTATTCTGTTACAGCAGTGTAAAATGGACCAAGACAATCGATTATCATACACATGTTTTCCAAGAGCAAAATAAGACAATTTAAGGAAAGACAACGGCACCTCCTAATTTCCACCTGAAAACACTTTCAGATTAGGCCAGCACCATCTCCTGTGGGGAGTGTTCTCCCTCTGACTCTAGCTTTCCCAGAGCTGCTCCCTGGATGCGAAGGTGATGAAAAGAATGTGAAGTGCAGAACTCACGGGGGGCAGGCAGGAGTTCCAGGTGGTGGTGTCGTCACTGCTGCTGCTTATGCTCACGTTGCAGTTGTCCATCTGAGAGGCACTCAGGCCGCAGGGAGCCCAGGGCTCCTCCAGCTCTTCCCTCTGTTGCCGCTGTAGGCTCGCTAACATCTGCAACTCAGACTCACTCATTTCGCTGGGCTGATAGTTTCTCCAGTTGTACTCCTGGATGAGAGAAAGGAAATAAAAGAACGAAGGGTCACTTGGACTGAATTTTATGGGCTACCACCAAATGCCGCCCCACAGCCTGAAGCCCACGATGGATCCCTGCTGACAGAGGCCTGAATCCTTCCCACATCTCATGAGATGTCTACTTTACCTGCCTAATCTCGTCTGTCAACCCTGGACAGGTCAGCTGCTTGGCCTTTGCTGCAGTTCTCACAAGTGCCAAGCTCGTGCTTCTGTGCATGCCAGTGCCCTCCGCTTCCCGTCTGGCTGGCTGCTCGGCCTCCTTTAGGCACCGTATGTGTGTCTCTTCCTCAAGGAAGCCTTTTCTGACAGCTGCAGGTTGAGCTAGCTCCTCTATCATGTGCTCTCAACTAAAAACGTTTCACAATTTAGGACAAGTTTTGCAGCTACGTAACCATCCATGGACTTCACAGTAGACTGTGAACTCGGTAACAGGGACCATCATGACTGCCTCAGTCCCACTGGTGACTAGCAGGTGTTCAACCAGTATTTGTGGGTTGAATAAATAAAAACTGGAAGTAGTTTTTTTGTAGGAAGGGGTACTGGGGATTGTTCCAGGATCAACCCAGGATCTGCAACATTTCCAGTCCTTTATAAACTGTTTATTTGGAGGCAAGGTCTCAGGTTGGGTTTGAATTTGCCTCCTGCCTGCCTCTGCCTTCCAGCATACTGGGATTATCAGTATTAACAGTGTCGAAAGCAATTTTTAACAAAGAAAACCAACATACCACAAAGAAGACAGGTTTATAATGGAATTGATGAATTTTAGCATTGTTGAGCAATTCCACCAAATATATTCAAATCACAGTAAGAGTGAAAATGACTACTATTGTTAAAAGGCATCAAAAAAATTTAAACCCAAGATAGGAACACAAAAGGTGTTGTGGTTTCTATCTGGATGTTCCTGTAAAGCCTCATGCACTCACAGGCGGGGCTCTGGGGAGTGACTGGGTCCTGCGGGGCAATACCTATCAGCAGATGAGCCCGCTGATGAGGTCAGGCTAACTGTGATGCTGGGAGGCGAAGCCCGGTTGGAGGAGGGGCCCCCAGGCGGGGCCTGAAGGGTCCGTCTCCCTCCCTTCTCCTTTGACCTCCCTGCTTCCTGTCGCCATGCCATGAGCTGTTTCTCCTCTGCCCTGCCCCTCCGCCATGCTGCCCTGCTTTGGAGCCAGCTGAATCCTTTATAAACTGTGAGCTCAAACAAACCTTTCCTTCTTTAACTGGCAGATATCGGATTCGGTGCCTCAGGGACAAGAAAGTAACTGAGACATAAGGCCTAAAAGTCAGAAAGGCCTCACTGCTACGATGCACATTTACACTGATGTGGATTATACTACAGATACAGTCAAGACTCCCAGATGCTAATGTAACTATTATTTTAATACACAGAAATTGGCATATGAAAATTTCAAAACTTTTACTTTGTTTTTTCTTTTGGGCCTAAACTAGGTTTGAGAGCAAGCATTAGTTTCAACATTGCTTAACTATCAGCATCACAGATGAGCAGAGTGATTTATATCCAGAACTCATATATAATTTAAAAGCAATTCTAAAATTTAGTGTACATCTGGAAATACTGGTTGTACTAATAATTTTTTTTCTAAGACATACTAGAATTTTTAGATATTCAAATCTCTGTGCTTACTATCTTGAAAGTCCCTATTTCCTGCTCTTCTGTTTTTTTTTTTTTTTTTTTTTTTTTTTTTTTTTTTCT